CCACATCAGCCTCTGCTGACAGCTTGGATTCTGTGTCTTCCCCTCTCTCTGCCCCTCCCCACTCGTTCTCTCTCTCTCTCAAAAACACATAATAAACATTTAAAAAAATAAAAAATAAATAAAAATAAAAGATTTGATGAAATTCAACACCAATTCATGGTAAAAATACCCAATAAACTAAAAATAGAAGGAACTTCAATACAATAAAGGTCATATATGAAAATTTCACAGCTAACGTCATATTCAAAAATGAAAATTTTTCCCCTACGATCAACAACAAGACTAAAAAGATCTGCTTTCACCATTTCTATTCAACATAGTACTTAAGTTCTAATCAGATCAATTAGCTAAGAAAAAGAAATAAAAGGCATCCACATCAGAAAGAAACAAGTAAAATAATTCACAGATGACATAATCTTGTATGTAGAAAATTCTGAAGACTGCACAAAAAAACTATTAGAGCTAATAAACTACTTCAGCAAAGTTGCAGGGTACAAAATCAACACAAGAAAATCTGTTCGTTTCTATACATGAACAATGACTAATGCAGAAAGGAAAACAGAATAGAAGTGACCATAGGCTGGGACAGGAAGGGGTGGAGAATGGGAGTTTTGTCTAATGGGTACAGAGTTTTTGTTTGCAATGACAAAAACGTTTTAGAAATGGACCGTGGGGACAGCTGCACAGTACTCTGAATGTCGTTCCTGTCACTGAGTTGTACACTTAACATGGCTAAAATGGGGTACAAGAGTACTGCTCTCACCAGTCCTGTTCAGCAGAGCACTGTAAGTCCCAGCAGAGCAATCAGGCAAAACCGGAAACAAAAGGTATCCAAATAGGAAAGAACTAAAATTGTTGCAGTTTGCAGATGACATAATCTACACATAAAATTTTAAAGACTCCACCAAAAATATGTTAAAATAACTATAAAATTCAGTAAAGTTTCAGGATACAAAACCAATTACAGTGGTGCTGGAATGGCTAAGGATCCAAATCTTGATTTCGGCTTAGGTCATGATCTCACGGGTTTGGGATTCTCTATCTCCCCCCCCAATCTCTCTACCCCTCCCTCACAGACTCTCTCTAGATAAATAAATAAACTTAAAAAATATATATTTTAAAGCGGGAGAGAAAGGGTGCCTGGGTGGCTCAGTCAGTTAAGCATCCTACTTCAGCTCAGGTCATGATCTCATGGTCTGTGAGTTCGAGTCCCATGTCTGGAGCCTGCTTCAGATTATGTCTCCCTCTGTCTCCGCCCGTCCCCTGCTCATGCTCTCTCTCTGTCCATTTCAAAAATAAATAAACATTAAAGAAAAGATTAAAAATAAAAATTATAAAAATCTGCTATCTCTTTATACATTAGCAGTAAACTATCTGAAAAAGAAATTAACAATCCCATTCTTTTTTTTTTTTTTTTTTTTTTTATTTCTAGGAGATAGAGACAGCGTGAGCAGGGGAGGGTCAGAGAGAGAGGGAGTCACAGACTCTGAAACAGCTCCAGGCTCTGAGCTGGCAGTCAGCACAGAGCCTGACGCGGGGCTCGAACCCACGAACCACGAGATCATGACCTAAGCGAAAGTCGGACGCTTAACCGACTAAGCCACCCAGGCGCCCCGAAAACAATCCCATTCTTGATGGCATCCAAAATAATAAAACACCCGGGAATAAATTTAACCAAGGAGATGAGAGATTTATACACTAAAAACTGTAAGACATTCATAAAAGAAGATGAAGAAAATACACATAAATGGAAAGATATCCCATGTGCATGCATCCAAAGAATTACTATCGTTGGGCCACCTGGGTAGCTCAGTCATTTAAGTGTCAGACTTCAGCTCAGGTCATGATCTCATAGTTCATGAGTTCGAGTCCCATATCAGGCTCTGTGCTGTCAGTGCATAGTCTGCTTTGGATTCTCTCCCCACTCCCCACCCTCCACTTCCCCAGTTGTGTTTCCTCTTTCTCTCTCTCTCTCAAAAATAAACATAAAATTTTTTTTTTTAATTTTTAAAACATTACTGGGTCACTGGGTGGCTCAGTCAGTTGAGCATTTGACTTTGGCTCAGGTCCATGAGTTCAAGCCCCATGCTCGGCTCAGAGCCTGGAGCCTGCATAGGATTCTGTATCTCCCTCTCTCTCTGCTCCTCCCCCACTCACACTCTGTCTCTGTCTCTCAAAAATTAAAAAAAAATTACTATTGTTAAAATGTCCATTCTCCTCAAAGCCTTCTACAGTCAATGCAATCTTAAATAGAAAAAAACCTCAAATTTGTGTGGAATCACAAAAGACCTCAATAGACAAAGCAACCTTGAGAAAGAACAACAAAGCTGGAAGCACCATACTTCCTCATTTCAAACTGTACTACAGAGCTTTGACAATCAGGGTAGCCTAGGTGGCTCAGTCGGTTAAGTGATTAAGCGTCTGATCTCAGCTCAGGTCATGACCTCACGGATCGTGAGTTCGAGCCCTACATCAGGCTCTATGCTAACAGCTCAGGCCTGGAGCCTGGCTTTGGATTCTAGGTCTCCCTGTCTCTGTGACCCTCCTCTACTCACACTCTGTCTCTCTCTGTCTCTCAAAAATAAACATTAAAAAATTAACAAAACACATTTAAAAGACAACAAAGCTATGATAATCAAAGTAATATGAGACTGGCATAAAAACAGACTCAAAGACCAATGGAACAGAGCAGAGAACCCAGAAGTAAATTCATGCATACACCGGTCATGTAATATTTGACAAGGGAGCCCAAAATATTCAGTGCTGGAAAGATAATATCTTCAGTCAAAGGTTTTGGAAAAATTCGATAGTCACATGCAAAATAATGAAACTGGACCCTGTCTTACTCCATTCACAAAAATGCATTTCAAATAGCCTGCTTGGGATTCTCTGTCTTCCTCTCTCTCTCCCCTCCCCCACTCATAGTCTCAAAATAAATTAACCTTTTTTTTTTTAAGTTAAAAAACTAATGTAAGTGGGACTATATCAAACTAAAAAGCTTCAGCACATCAAAGAAACAATCAACAAAAGGAAAAGGCAATCTATGGAATGGGAGAAAATATTTGCAAATCCTGTATCTGATAAGGGGTTAATAGGTTAATATTCAAGGAACTCCTACAACTCATTAGCAGAAAAAAAAAATCCATTTAGAAAATGGGCAAAAGACCTGAACATTTTTCCAAAAAAAGAAAAACAAATGACCAACAGGTACATGAAAAGGTGTTCAACATCCTTAATCATCAGGGAAATGCAAATCAAAACGACAGTGAGGCATTCCTGCACACCTGTTAGGATGGCTATTATCAAAAAGAGAAGAGATAACAAACGTGAAACCTTGTGCACTACTGGTGGGAATTTAAATCGGTACAGCCACTCTGAAAACAATATGGGGACTTCTCAAAATACTAAAAATATAACTACCATAGGATCCAGCAATCCCACAAAATAACATCACTATCTCAAAGAGACTATTTGTACCCCTACCTCAGCCAGGTGATAAAGGTCAACATTATGTTGGTTATAAATCAGGGGATAAAGGTCATAAATATGTTGATCTTTGGCTAATAGTTTGGGCCCTTGATACAATGTAATGAAAACAACACTTTAGCTCTGTGGCCTTCTCTCCAAAACCCACTGCAACACAATTCTTAATAACCAAGACAAGGAAACAAGCTGAGTGTCCATGCTCTCAAGAAAACATGGTGTACAGATACAATGGAAGAGGAGGAGGAGGAAGAAGAGGCGGAGGAGGAGGAAGAGGAGGAGGAGGAGGAGGAAGAGGAGAAGGAAGGAAGAAGATCCTGCCATTTGTGAAAACATGGACGAACCGTGAGAGCATTACACTACATAAGTGAGACAGAAATAGAAAACTACTGAATGATCTCACTTGTATGTGGAATCTAAAAAAAAAACTGAGGGGCGCCTGGGTGGCTTAGTCGGTTAAGCGTCCGACTTTCGCTTAGGTCATGATCTCGCGGTTCGTGGGTTCGAGCCCTGCGTCGGGCTCTGTGCTGGCTGCCAGCTCAGAGCCTGGAGCCTGTTTCAGTCTGTGACTCCCTCTCTCTCTGACCCTCCCCTGCTCACGCTGTCTCTCTCTCTCTCTCTCCTAGAAATAAATAAAACATTTAAAAAAAAAAAAAAGAAAAGAAAAATAAAAAAAATAAAATAAAAAAAAAACTGAACTCCAAAACAAAGAGAGTAGATTTGTGGTAGGTGGGGGAAGGTGGGGGAAGGGGAAGAGAGTCAAATGGTACAAACTTCCAGTTATAAGATGAAGAAGGTATGGGGTTGTAATATTGTTTAAATAGTTAACAATATTGTACTACGTACTTGAAAGTTGCTGAGAGAGTAGATCTTAAAAGTTCTCAACATACACACATACAAAAGGTATTAAATTTTTAAACGGTCTAGTTGACAATAAATAGACTATACAAATAATGGACTCTTTAATTTAAAAAATGTTAGTGGTTAAAATAGGACATTTTATGTTATATGTACTTTATATAATGTTTTTAAAAATAGTGTATTTGAGGGGCACCTGGGTGTCTCAGTCAGTTGAGCATCCGACTTCAGGTTAGTACATGATCTCACAGTTTGTGAATTGGAGCCCTCCCTCGGGCTCACTACTCTCAGTGCAGAGCCCCCTTCAGATCCTCTGTCCCCCTCTCTATCTGCCCATCCCCGTTCGTTCTCGTTCTCTCTCTCTCTCTCAAAAATAAGTAAAACATTTTTAAAAAGTGTATTTGAGAGATTATGTCATTCCACAACATATATGCAGTTTCACGAATCCGTGTCAATAATGGTTAAGTGTTTTATTAAAAAACTACTTAGAACTACATATAACCAAAAGTATTTGTATAAAGATTAGTCATATAGCAGCAAGGATATAAAAGGACAGAACTTTATTAGAATTCCTAAGTATATACCTCAAAAGTCTATTTCTGATTTAAACAAAAGACCACCAAGTTGTTTTTCATCATGTGCGTGTGCACGTGTGCGTGTGTGGGTGTGTGTGTGTTGTTACCCTTTACCCGTTACCTTTGGCAATCAAGACATAGTGTGGTCATGCAGGCAGGGCAATTCAAGACAGCATCACTATTTGGAACAGGCTGTTGTTGTTGGTGTGGCCTCTGTATTCCAAAACCATGGTAGCTAGAACAGAAAAAGAAAGGGGAGGGGGATGCACATTAAAGCCAGATCTTGAGGTCTTTTTCTTTTTTCTTTTAAGGAGGCTCCACTCCTGGGGCGCCTGGGTGGCTCAGTCAGTTAAGAGTCCAACTTCGGCTCAGGTCATGATCTCACGGTTCATGGGCTCGAGCCCCGCATCGGGCTCTGTGCTGACAGCTAGCTCAGAGCCTGGAGACTGTTTCAGGTTCTGGGTCTCCCTCTCTCTGACCCTCCCCTGCTCACGCTATCTCTCTCTCTCTCTCTCTCAGAAATAAAACATTAAAAAAAATTTTTTTTAATAATAAAACAGTAAAAAAAAAAAAAGAGTCTCCACTCCTAATGTGGGGCTCACAACCCCAAGATTAAGAGTCACATGCTCTATGGACTGAGCCAGCCAGGCACCCCCAAGATCTTGATTTCTAATGCCACTCTCCAATAAAAGAAACAAGTACTCCTAAGAGAATTAACTGATTCTAGGAATGAGGCCTACAAGATGAACCTGGAGCATCTTATGGTGCCAGAAAGTAAAGAAGTGCTCAAAATGAACAATGAGGTAGGATTCAAGGGGGCACAGAAGTCAAGTCAAAGAGCTTCCAATGGGCAAAGCTGAAACAATTAGAACAACAAAATAATGTAGTACTGGATTATAACCTGAAGTATAAGTAAATATCCTGAGGCCACTCTGATATAAATGACCAAATGAATGAATGAATGAATGAAGAACAAATATCCCATACAGAAGAATAATTAATAAAGATACTCTTTCCTCAAGGAAGTGGAGCATAACCCCCTACTCCACAAGTTTGGGCTGCACATAGTGACTTCCTTCCAAAGAGTACAATATGGAAAGGAGGGGTAGAGGGTAACTTTACAGCAGAGAAAACTGATAAACACTTCCACACCATGGCGATCAAGATCAGTATTAACAATCATAAATCACAACGACACTACATGCCCTTGATTACAAAATGGTGAAAACTACACTTTCTCTCTGTGGTCTTCCTCCCCAAAACTCATAATCCCAGTCTAATCATTAGAAAAACATCAGACAAATTCCAATAGAGGGGTTTCCTATGACCAGTACTCCTGAAAAATGTTAAGGTCATCAAAACCAAGGAAAGTCTAAAACCTGTCAGAGCCAAGAAGACCCTAAAGAGATATGACAATTAAAAGTAACATGGTATCCTGGATGGTATCTTGGAACGGAAAATGGACAGTAGGTAAAAAGTAAGGAAATGTGAATAAAATGTGGACCTTAGTTTATAATAATGTATAAATACTAGCTCATTAATTGTGACAAATGTACCATATTAACATAACACGTTAACAACAAGTGAAACTGTGGGGCGGGGGGGTTGTGGTAGGGTACATGAGAACTCTGTATTATTAGCTCAATTTCTGTAAATCTAAAATTCTTCTAAAAGAATAGTCTATTAATTTGAAAAACAAGTATGTAAGCTCTAAGTGCCTAAGGATTTTGGTCTGTTTTGTTCCTTGTATTTCAAGAATACAGAACAGAGTTTGGTATGTAAGTGTTCAATAAATATTCACTGACTGCAAAAATATAGTAAGAATCTACTTATGAAAGTACTAAAGTATGAAAGTATATATTCTTAAAAGGGACTTATGGTAAACTCCTAAAACCTGCACAACAAAAGGTAAATCATGTGGCATTACTTTCTAAATCCTTTAAATGTCTCTGGGGAAAAATACTGAAAACATGTAGTACATATTTTAAAACTGTTGTTAAATGCTTCCAATGCTTAACAGATTTCAAAACCCAAACCCATAAAAGTAATTTATTCATTCAATAGCTACTTAATGATAGCCCATTCTACAAAGTACAAGATGCTTGGGATACAGCAGTGAACTGACAGGCATCATCACTGCCCTTATGATACTTAAAATGTAGTGAGTTCATTATTTTAAGTTGGTTCTGTGGTCTTAAAAGGCCACTGCTTGATGGAGGAATGTGATTAAGTCAATAAAATGTTATTTCTTCTCAAGATTATACAACAAAAGGGGTGCCTGGCTGGCTCGGACAGCGGAACATGCAACTCTTGATCTCAGGGTCCTGAGTTCAAGCCCAATTGGGGGTAGAGTTTATTTTTTAAAAATTGTTTTTTAAAGATTATATAACAATAGAGATACATTCCATCTTACCTCACTGACAAATTCTGTTACCAGAATCAAGAGCTGCACTGTAATTTCCTTAACTATCTGCAGCACTTAAAATGTTCATTTTACACTGGGGATAATCAAAAACTATTCATGGGGCAGGGGCACCTGGGTGGCTCAGTCGGTTGAACATCCAACTTCGGCTCAGGTCATAATCTCACAGTTCATGAGTTCAAGCCCCACACAAGCTTTGCGCTGACAATGCAGAGCCTGTTTCAGATTCTCTCTCAAAAATAAATAAACATTAAAAAAATGTATATATATATTCATTAGGGGCACCAAGGTGGCTTAGTTGGTTAAGTGTCCAACTTCAGCTCAGGTCATGATCTCATAATTTTTGAGTTCAAGCCCTGTATCAGGCTCTCTGCTATCAGCCACAGAGCCCACTTCAGATCCTCTGATCCCTCCCCCATGTGCACGTGTGTGAGCACGCACACACACATACACATATTCTCTCTCTCAAAAACAAACACAAGATTTAAAAATAAATCACCTGAATGAAATTTTCTGGTAATCTTCAAAGTAAACAATTCAGCGGTTTTTTCCTCAAAATGTTTAACATATGTCCATATGAACATATACACGTACATTCAAAATGTGAACGTTGTAAAAATCATCTTTAAACCATTTTTCTCTAAAGATTCTAAATATTAAAGTTAAGTTCTTACCCTCTTCTCTGTGCATCAACCCAGGCCTGATCTCTGTTATCTTTCTCAGGATCGTATAGTAATTCATCATTTGTTGGAATCCTGTGTCGTTTCTTCTTTTTCTTCTTGGTCACCTGTGCTAATTTTGAAAATGTTAAGGATATGGCTAGGTATCATGCCTAAAGTACACACCTTTCTAATACAGAATGTACAATCCTCAGCTACTTTTTTCTGTTTATATTTTCCTAAAAAAAATTTTTTAACTATCCCTCCAAATAAAGTTCTTATCCAATTAACAAGGCATCAGGGCATTTGGGTCGCTCAGTCAACTAAGCATCCAGCTCTTGATTTCAGCAGAGGTCATGATCTTACCATTTGTGGGTTCAAGCACCGGGTCAGATTGGAATTCTCTCCCTCCCTTCCCCTCTGCACCTACCCTGTGTGAGCATCAAAATAAATAAATAAACTTAAAAAAAAAAAAAAAAACCATAGCATTAAAATGAAGGTGACAGAGGAGGCAAAAATTGTTTCTTCACTAAAAACTGTTATCTCAAGAACTGAATTAAAAGAGAATTCAGAGTCTCAGAAAGGTCCCTCAAAGGGAGCCAAGATTAGAAACTTTTTGATGTATAAATCCTCAAAAAGTTCCTATATATAAAATGCTAGTGAAATCAGAATAAAAATATTTTAAGAATGAATGAAAAAACACTACCATCATCCATATACACTAGACTTTTAAAATGTACTTAGGTTAATACTTAGGTAATAATACATAAATATATAAAATTGTTTCTTTACCATAGAAATGTTGTTTGTGTATTCCAGTGCAACTACTGATATAATTTATAATTAAATTAGCTGTAATTCTTATATTCACCTTTGCTCAGATTTTAAAGCCTCTAAAGTACAGAGACTGATAAAAAAGCAACCAGTTAGAAAAAATTCTGCAAAATATAAAGTATAAGTGTCTAAATTTCCTGTAAAAATATAGAAACTGTTTGCAGGTGTGAAAGCAAATGCTGCTACACTAAGGAACCTTAAGGAAGCGTGGGGCCAAGAGCCCTGAGGAAGCAGGGGCTGAGTCGGGACACACTGTCCCTCTCCCTGGGCATGCCCGTGCGGCACCCTCGCTGGCCCCATGGCCTCATATGTGCATTCCCATCTGTCCTTATTCATCATTCCTGCTTTTGTTTTCACATCAATGGCCTACCATTTCTCAGAAGATAAAACTCGGAGGGAAATCCTAATATCCAATAATTGTTAGGTAAATGTTTCTTCCATGAAATGTTACTGCTAAGTCTGGTAAACATGCTACTTACCTGTTTTGTCTTCATCCTCAGAATCAGAATCAAAATATATATCATCGTAGTACTTTGTCACAGCTGTTCCAACTTTTCCAGTTCCCGAAGAAGACCCTAATTACATAAGGGAAGTTTACGCACTAACCCATACATTACTGACAAGAAAAAAAAAACTCAGTATATTCTTCTATCACCTCAAAGTACTATCAGCTCATTCCCAATCTCATCTGGATGGAAAAATACTTTCACATCAATGACTTACTGAATGTTTGTGCCCTGTGCAATTACAGAGAACTGTAATTGTTAATTAAGAAATTGATTAAGGGGCGCCTGGGTGGCTTAGTCGGTTAAGCGTCTGACTTTCGCTTAGGTCATGATCTCGCGGTTCGTGGGTTCGAGCCCCGCGTCAGGCTCTGTGCTGACTGCCAGCTCAGAGCCTGGAGCCTGTTTCAGTCTGTGACTCCCTCTCTCTCTGACCCTCCCCTGCTCACGCTGTCTCTCTCTCTCCAAGAAATAAATAAAAATATTTAAAAAAAAAAAATTAAAAAAAAAAAAAAGAAATTGATTAAGTATTCCAAATCATGAGAAAATTATCCTCCAGCCCTTCCCACAAATCTAATTCCATCAAAGACCCTATTTCCAGATTGCCACCATATATGTCTCTACCTTTCAGCCATGCAGTACACTGGGAAGAACAGGGTCTAAACATCTTGTTATAAGGGACTTGCAGGGAAAGAGGGTAACAGCCCTAAAGAGAGGCAGGGGGAATGATTCAAGAACACATTCTTCCTCTCCTCACTTGTGCCTAGTGCCAGGGCTGATGCTATATTCATGTCATATGCTTGTGTCCTGAATTCTTCCCCTTAATTAACATGCTTTTGCTTTTATTATTTTTATATATGCTTTCAGTTCCCAGCAGTTAAGACATAGCATACTGGCATGGAAACCAAAGCTAAGGCACCAATCAGTTTTTGGATCAAGTACACTTCACATAAAGACAAAATATCAAAATGAAGAATGTTTCACTACTTACTAAAATGACACAATTTGTGGTGACATATTCAGTGTGCCCTTATCAGTGCTATGTAACTCTAAAAATACCTCTCTAAGCTTGTGTGTCTTTTTCTTTTTTTCTTTTTTATCCTGAGGTAAAAATTACAAAAGGAGGGAGTTCTGAGTAGTTCAGTCAGTTAAGCGTCTGACTCTTGATTTAGGCTCAGGTCTTATTTATTTTGAGAGAGAGAGAGAGAGGAGAGAGTGAGTGAGTGCACACGAGGGAGTGGGACATAGAAAGTGAGGGAGAAGGAGAATCACAAGTAGGTTCCAAGCTCTCTTCGCAGAGCCAGACTTGGGGCTCGATGTCACGAACCATGAGATCATGATCTGAACCAAAATCGAATCAGAACATTCAACCAACTGAACCGCCCAAGCACCCCATAAATAAACCCCCAAAAAAAATTACAAAAGGAAATCACATTTAAATAATACTAAATAGTGTCATTTCAACAACACCCGAAAATTCTTCATTAGTCATCAAAAAAACTATGCTCAGGTTGCCAAATACATTTATTCATTCACTCAGTAAATATTTAATGAGCGCCTACTCAAAGTGCTGGGGACACAACAGGGCACAAAGAAGATTCCTGCCCTTGTAAAGCTTAGAAAAATATCTATATGAGGGGCGCCTGGGTGGCTTAGTCGGTTAAGCATCTGACTTCAGCTCAGGTCATGATCTCACGGTTTGTGAGCTGAAGCCCTGCATCAGGTTCTGTGCTGACAGCTCAGAGCCTGGAGCCTACTTCAGGTTCTGTGTCTCCCACTCTCTCTGCCCCTCTCCCGCTCATGCTCTGTCTCTCAAGAGTGAATAAACATTAAGGAAAAAAAAAGAAAAAAATGAAAATCTAAAAGTTTACCTGTTTCCAGAGAGGATAACTTGTCCTCCATTGTTTTTATGGTGGAATTTAATTCGGCTTCCATTTCTTTTTCAAATTCATCTTCACTAGATGATTCACTTTCTCCAGTAAGACATTCTCTGATGAGTTTTCGTTTTTGGTCAGGAGTTCCATGTAGAAGCACATCCACTTCATCTTCAGAACTAGTATACATTTAAATCACAAGGCATATGAACACTAAAGAACTGTAATAACTTATAACTCCCATCATCTCATTGCCCAACAACTTTAAGATTTACAAGGTTGCATTTATCTGTCATATTACATATAGCTATTCTCACTTAAAGATCAACCCTTTCTGCATATTTCCAAATACATTTTTAATGTCTGCATAACATTTTCTCTTATAGATGCTGTACATTTATTTCTAACTCTTTGCTATTATGCTACAATGAATATCTCTGTAGAGTACATGTAATTTTCTGTTGATTTCCTTAGGATAAATGTCTAGAATGAGACATACAAGCATCTTTCTGGCTTCTTGAATCATCACACTGTTTCACTGTTATTCCAAAAGTTTTGCACCAATTCATAATTCCATTAGCAATGAAAAGTTTACTCCACAGAACTAGTTTTTTTAAAACTCTGAGTACTTAAATAAAACTTAGTATATGTAACTAATATATAGCCAATATACCTACACAAAATGTTAACAGATAGTAATTAGATATTACAGTTTAAAAGTTACAAAGCTACAGAGAACCATTAAGAGAAAGTTATATTATAAATTCTCCTAGGGGCGCCTGGGTGGCTTAGTCGGTTAGGCGTCCGACTTTCGCTTAGGTCATGATCTCGCGGTTCGTGGGTTCGAGCCCCGCGTCGGACTCTGTGCTGACTGCCAGCTCAGAGCCTGGAGCCTGTTTCGGAGTCTGTCTCCCTCTCTCTCTGACCCTCCCCCGCTCACCCTGTCTCTCTCTCTCTCTCTCCTAGAAATAAATAAAACATTTTAAAAAAATAAATAAATAAATAAATTCTCCTGAGCAATTACTGCCAATTTACTCGGCCTTTTCCACCTGTCCCCATCAATAACAATATGACAGGAGGGCACCTGGGTGCCTCAGTCATTAAGCATCCAACTCTTGATTTCAGCTCAGGTCACGATCTCACAATTTGGGACTTGGAGCTCTGCACTCAGTGCAGAGTCTCCTGTGGACTCTCTCTCTGCCCATCCGCCGCTCTCTCTCGAAATAAACTTTAAAAAAATGTTTTTGATAAATAACAGCATGACAGGGGCAACTGGGTGGCCCAGCCGGTTGAGCGTCCGACTTCAGCTCAAGTCATGATCTCATACTTCGTGAGTTTGAGCTCTATGCTGACAGATCAGAGCCTGGAGCCTGCTTCAAATTCTGTGTCTCCCTCTCTATCTGCCCCTCCCCCACTCACTGTCTTTCTCCCTCTCTCTCAAAATAAACATTAAAAATAATAATAATAAATAAATAGATAACAGTATGACAGAATTAAACCAGATATCAGAAAGAACGAAATGTGATCAAAATGAGTGAAATGCCTAAGATATTTCTTTTTTTTTTTTTAATATTTTTATTTATTTCTAGGAGAGAGAGAGACAGCGTGAGCAGGGGAGGGTCAGAGAGAGAGGGAGTCACAGACTCTGAAACAGGCTCCAGGCTCTGAGCTGGCAGTCAGCACAGAGCCCGACGCGGGGCTCGAACCCACGAACCGCGAGATCATGACCTAAGCGAAAGTTGGACGCTTAACCGACTAAGCCACCCAGGCGCCCCAAAATGCCTAAGATATTTCTAATATAATCACCAATTCATAAATAATGTTCAATGACTGTGGTCTGATGAACAGTTACAGACTACCCCTGGTTTTTGTTTCTCTATTTTCTTCTTCTAGAACAATGCCTTTGAGCCGAGCTGAAGGTAAGTCAGAAAAATGCAATTCACACCAATCAAGGTTGCTAGTGATAGAGGCCTTAGCCGGATTCTACTCTCAAGAGAATTCCCCACCTAACATTCCGCATCCTGACCAGCCCGCTGCCTTTCTCCAGCACCACAATATTCGTTTGGGTTCTCTTTTAACTCTGTCTGTTCCACCTTATCCTAAGGATCTCCAGACCTCCAAACTCTTCCATTTCCATCCAGCCTTAATCCTGCTGCCAGAATGTTATTCCTAAAGAACTCTCATCATACCCAAAGCCAATTCCCAAAGAAATCATTCATAGCCAAGCCTCTGAACACAGCATTCAAAAAAGCCTTCCCCGTTTGGTTTCAACTTATCTTTTCAACATTACCTCTCACCCGTGAACTACACCAGAGGTCTCCAACGGGGAGCATTTTGTCCTCCAGGGAATCTATGGCATAGCTAGAGACATTTTTGATTACCACTACTTGGGGCAGGGGGTGGAGGAGGGGCTACTGGCTTCTAGTGGGTAGAGGTCAGGGATGCTGCTAAACATCCTATAATGCACAGAACAAGCTCCTCAACAGAGAATTATCCAATCCAAGATGTCAACGCTACCAAAGATGAGAAACTCTGATCTATCCTATATTCAAGTGTTTCCAAAGTGTAGAATGTAGATTATCTCAGGAGTACCAGGATAGACAGACCACTAAATAACTTTGAAGCCATTGCTGGTGGGAATGTCAAATGATATAGCTTCTATAGAAAGCAGTTTGGCAGTTTCTAATAAAACTAACCATGCAACAACCATACAATCCAGCAATCACCCTCCTGGGCATTTATCCCAGAAAACTAAAAACTGATATTCACACAAAAACCTCTACATGAGTGTTCATAAACGCTTTATTCACAAGAGTCAAAACTAGAAACAATTAGACATCCTTCAATAAGGGAATGGTTAAGGGGCGCCGGGGTAGCTCAGTGAGCTGAGCAACAGACTCTTGATTTCGGCTCAGGTCATGATCCCAGGGTCACGAGATAGAGCCCTGCGTGGGATCTGCACTGAGTATGGAGTCTGCTTATGATTCATTCTCTCTCTCTTTCTCTCTGCCCCTCCCCCCACTCTGCCCTAAAATTTAAAAAATATTTTTAAAAATTTTAAATAAGGGAATGGTTAAAACAAATGTGAAATAGTACTCAGCAATAAAAAAGAAATGACTTACTGACTACCTGCAACACTGTGGATGAACCTGAAGGAATTATGCTGAATGAAAAAAACCAATCGCAAAAGGTTACATACTGCAGGATTCCATTTACATAATATTCTTGAAAAGGACAAAATTATAGAAGTGGAGAACAGACAGTAGTTACCAGCAGTTAAGTACTGCACCGGGGAGAGGGGGAACGAAGTGAGCAATGAGGGATCCTTCTGGTAATGGAAATGTTCTATATCTTGACCATATTAATGTCGATATCCCAGTTGTGATATTAAAGTTTTGTAAAATATGTTAACATTGAGGGGAAAATGGTTGGAGGAAACACAGAATCCCTCTGTATTATTTTTTAACTTTTCTAATAGCATAATTTACTGTCACAAATACATGCATTTAAATATACAGTTAGGGCGCCTGGGTGGCTCAGTCAGTTAAGCATGCAATTTGGTTTCGGCTCAGGTCATGATCTCGCAGTTAGTGAGATGAAGCCCTAAATTCGAGCCCTGCACTGGCATCATGGAGCCTGCTTGGGATTCTGTCTCTCTGCCTCTCTGCCCCTCTCACTCATTCTCTCTCTCTCAAAATATATAAACATTTTTTAAAAAGAAATTTAACCCATGGGGCGCCTAGGTGGCTTAGTCGGTTAAGCGTCCGACTTTCGCTTAGGTCATGATCTCGCGGTTCGTGGGTTCGAGCCCCGCGTCGGGCTCTGTGCTGACTGCCAGCTCAGAGCCTGGAGCCTGTTTCAGTCTGTGACTCCCTCTCTCTCTGACCCTCCCCTGCTCATGCTGTCTCTCTCTCTCTCTCCTAGAAATAAATAAAACATAAAAAAAAAAAGAAATTTAACCCAAAAACATCTAGTATTTGTTTATTTGAGAGAGAGAGAAAAAAGGCATGAAAGGGGCAAAGAGAAAGAAGCCCAAGCAGGCTCCGTGCTGTCACCGGCAGACCCCAACTGAGGGCTTGATCTCACCAACCATGAGATCGTGACTGAGCCGAAATTAAGAGCCTGATGCCTAACCAAGTGAGCCACCCAGGCACCCCAACCTATGGAAAAGTATTAAATAAAGAGCTACAGGGGTGAATATGGAGACGGTAATGGCTAAATACCTCAAGTCCAGGAAATACTGCTATATTCCAATCAAACTGAATTACTAATTGATACACCTCCTTTCACAGACCAGACCCATTAATTGAAACTCCTTCTCTCAGGCAATCTTGTAATCTATCCTTACTCCCCACAAGAGAAATCTTCACAGCAGTCCAATCTACCAAGCCTACAACCCCTCCCCAGGATAACAGGAAGAAACATTACGCTGGAAGGAAGGGCAGTTTCACAGAAAGCTTAGTTGGACAGAATGTTCTGGAATTTATGAATAGGATCTGCTGCCAGCTTTAAAAAATGGATAAATTTGCCTGGAACTCTCTTGCCAAAATAACTACAAGCTTCCCCCAGGTAGGATTAATCCCTCCTTTCTGGAAATTCCCACAGAATTTGATCTGTGCCTATCTCAGGTGATTGTTTCCTACAATGCTCTTCTGAGGTACATACTTCTTTCCATGATATATATCTTCCGAGATACGTGTCGGATGACCTCTACTATCCTGCAAGCCTGTAGAAAACCGTAGCCCAGAGTAAGCATGTAACAGGGGTTCAAAAAGGGCCTGCTGAATATTCCCTTATTTCTGTTTACGGTAGTTTCATCTTCAAGACCGTCACTTCCCATTAAGTCCCAGAAGCCTCACAACATATTTAAGATGTAGTTATTATACTGCCTTTTTCTGCTATTTTGGAGAGAGCGGGCGTGAGCGGGGATGGGGGGCAGGGAGAGAGTCTTAAACCGGCTCCACTCCCAGCGCTGCGCCCAACATAGAAGGATCTCAGGACTCTGAGATTACGACCTGAGGGGAAATCAAGAGTACCGAGGCTTAACTGACTGGGCCACCCGGGAGCCCCTATTATATTTCCCTTTTTTGATGAGCAAAAGGAGGATAAGTGACTTGCCTTCAGGCATACTGCTAGCAAGCTGCAGAGGCAGGATTCGATCCCAAGGGTTTTGAAGACTCACTCCAGAATATCTCTGTTCCCCACGCGGGTGTCGGCCCCGCCTCCCCTGGGGCTCCCCGACCTCACCAGAACCCGCCTTGGCGTCGCACAGGACACAGCGGGGCGCAAGAGGGGCACAGGTCCTGGGCCGAGGGTCCCCCAGGGCCTGGCAGGCGCAGCGAATGTAGAAGGCTAAAGCCTGGCCTCGTCCCGAAGCTTCGGGGGCCGGGCCGGGGCAGGGGCCCACCTGCTCAAAGCTGGCTCCTCGTCGCTAGGCTCCTCAAGTGCGTACGGGTCATAGTCATCCTGGGGCCGGTTCATGGTGGCCTGTACCCTCGATCACCACGTACAAGCGGCGGGTCAGTATTTGTTTACTCGGCAGGCGACTCCGCTAAAGCGTCTGGAGCTCACTTCCGCCCGCACTTCCGTGCCCTCCCTGCGCGCCTGCGCAGACCGTCCTGGTGAGAGGGCGGGGTGAAAGGACGAGCCGTGCAGTCCACCACAGTCGTCCGCTGCCTACGCCTACCTGGAAAGAGCCACCTTAGTACCGAAAATAGTAATTGGCACCCTAAGAAGTAGCAGTCTCTGAGACGAGCGCCCTATGTGCAGTGTCTCACGTCGTGATGTGAAGGAGCAAGAATGCTAGATGCTGAGGAACATGCAGCACATAACAAAAGCTCTTTAGGATCCTCAGTAATTTCTAAGAGTGTAAAGGAGTCCTTAGACCAAAAAGTTTTGAGAACTCTGTTATAGAGACAATTCAGCTGGTACCTGGAAATAAGAACCTCCGTTTTGGAGGACTGTTACCTGCTGTGACAGAAAGGAGGAGATAAGGTCTGTAGATTGGTAACTTCTATTCTTGTGTCATTCTTTTGGGAGGATTAAGAGTTATTTTTAATTTCATTTTATTGTATCTTTGGAACTTGAAGATTTCTTCCATTGAAGTAGTTATTTATAGTTGCCTGCTCAGTAATTAAGAACTATAAAGTGAACGTGTGGGAAGCTTGAATTCTTTCCTAGGTTCGTTACTGATTTGCTCTAGAGCCTTGGGCAAGTACATAATTAATGGGTCTTATGTTGGTTTCCTTGTTTATAAAATGACATTAAGGATAAAATAACTCACACTTTTACTCCTATACTAAGAGAAACTTTGTCCCAGTCTGTCCTCTCCCTGTCCCTCCATCAGGACCTGCACTTACTCCTTCTACACCGGAGAGTCACCAGCAGTGTGCTGTCTGACTTGCTGGAGAACCCCATACTCCATGAAGTGGGCCAGGCCTTGCCTGTACCCCCTCTAGAAAGAAAAATTTTGTAACTATGAAATGGTATCTACTAGTGTTAGTTACAATAATAAGGAATACCCTTAAGTTTAGATTCGACTATTTAAAATGGAATCCTATTACGGACGCCTGGCTGGCTCAGTCAGTGGAGCATGTGACTCTTTAATCTTGCAGTCATGAGTTCAAGCCCAACGTTGGGCCTGGTGCTTACATAAAAAAATAAAATTCAGGGCACCTAGGTGGCTCAGTCAGTTAAGTATCCACCTTTGGCTCAGGTCATGAACTTGAGGTTTGTGAGTTCGAGCTCTGAGTGGGGCTCTGTGCTGACAGCTCAGAGCCTGGAGCCTGCTTCAGATTCTGTGTCTCCCTCTCTGTGTCTTCCTCCCCCACTCTCACTCTCTTTGTCTCTCTCTCTCTCAGGAAAAAAAAAAAAAGGCTTAAAATATTTTTTTAATAAAATATAATAAAATCTTTAGAGGTGCCTGGATGGCCCAGTTGGGTAAATGTCCGACTCTTGGCTTCAGCTCAGGTCATGACCTCACAGTTCATGAGCTCAAGCCACACATGATAACTGTGGAGCCACCTTGGGATTTTCTCTCTCCCTCCTCTCTCTCTGTCCCACCCCCTCTTTCTCTCTCTAAATAAATAAACTTTAAAAAACATTTTAATAAATAAATAAGGGTCACCTAAGTGGCTCAGTCATTTAAGCGTCCGACTTCAGCTCAGGTCATGATCTCAGTTCGTAGGTCAGAGCCCCATATCAGGTTCTATGCTGACAGAGCCTGGAACCTGCTTCAGATTCTGTGTCTCCCTTTCTCTCTGCCCTCCCCCGGTTGTGCGCGCGCTCTCTCTCTCTCTCTCTCTCAAAAGTGAATAAACTTTTTTAAAAATTGTTTTCAATAATTAGTAAAATCTTTATGAAACAAAACCACACCATGATATGACTTCACATCCTCTAGGTGGCTTTAATCAAAAAGATCGTGTTGCCAAAGATGTGGAGAAATTGGAACCCTCATATAGTGTCTGCAGGAATGTAAAACGGTGCAGCCACTTGGGAACACAGTCTGGCAGTTTCTCAAAAGGTTGAACATAGAATTACCAAGTGGCCCAGCAATTCCACGCCTAAGGAATGAGTCAGAAAGAGAAAGGAAGACATGTTCACACAAAAACTTATACATACATGTTCATAACAGCATTATTCACAATAGGCAGAATGTGGAAACAAACCAAATGTCTGTCCACTGGTGAATGCATACATCGGTGTGGCATATCCATACAGTGAAATATTATTTAGCAATAAAAAAGAATGAAGTGCTGATTCAATTATAACATGAATGAACTTGAAACGTTATCCTAAGTGAAGAAAGCCAGACAGAAGAGGCCACCTATTACCTGATTCCTTTTTTTTTTTTTTAGTGAAATGTCTGGAATAGGCAAATCTATAGAGACAGAAAGCAGATCAGCGGTTATCTAGGGCTGGACGTGGTGGGAGGCAGGGGGTGCGAGGAGGAAATGAACAATGACTGCTGATGGATGTGGGTTTCTTTTTGATTGACAAAAATGCCCTAAAATTGATTGTGGTGATGGTTACACAACTCTGCGAGCACACTAGAAACCACGGTGCACTTTGAACGAGTTGTGTGTGTGTGAATTACATCTCCATAAAGCTGTTAGAAAAACCATTTGGAGGGGGACTGGCATGTGATCTTCAGGGTGTGTTAGCTCTGATGATGACGGGGGGCGGCGCGTAGCTGTTCCAGTCACGCAGCGTATGTTATCGTGAAGCATTCTGTTGTACAGGACCTCCTCTATCGAAGATCTAGGTCGCTAGTGGATTATGAAAATGCTAATAAAGCGCTGGATAAAGCAAGAGCGAAAAATAAAGATGTCCTGCAGGCTGAGACATCCCAACAATTATGTTGTCAGAAATTTGAAAAAATATCTGAATCTGCAAAACAAGGTACTCTTCTTTCACCCTTGAATTATAAGGTCTACTTTCAACTATTATGTACATTAAATAGTTAATCCTAATTTCTTTTGTTCACAGAACTTATAGATTTTAAGACGAGAAGAGTTGCTGCGTTCAGAAAAAATTTAGTGGAACTGGCAGAATTAGAACTGAAGCATGCAAAGGTTAGTGTCATAGTAAAGGTTTAATATTTTAAGTGACTTATAATTTAGAAAGGAGTCACTTATGGGACACCTGGGTGGTTCGGGTCCTGATCTCACAGTTGGTGAGTTCAAGCCCCACATTAGGCTGCATGGACCCCCCTTCGGATCCTCTGCCCCCTTCTCTCTCTGCCCTTCCCCCACACTCTTGTGCGCGCTCTCTCTCTCTGTCTCTCTTTCTCTCTCAAATATTAAAAAAAAAAGTTCAAAGAAAAAGAATAAGCTATTTAAGAAAAAAAAAAAGAGTCAGTTATGGGGTGCCTGGCTGGCTCATTCAGTGAAGCATGTGAGCTCAAGTCCCACGCTAGGCATAGAGATTACTTTAAAAAAAAGGAAGGGAGGGAGGGAGGGAGGAAGGAAGGAGTCAGTTATAGAACTGATAATAATTCTTTAAAGACCGTTTCCTTCTACAGAGAAAGTGCAAGAACTATTCCTGAATTAGACTTAATTATAATTGGAATTACAATTTTGGAAGATTATTTTAGTTCTTCAAAATAATTTAATGTCGGGGCGCCTGGGTGGCTCAGTCGGTTAAGCGTCCGACTTCGGCTCAGGTCATGATCTCACGGTTCGTGGGTGTGAGCCCCGCGTCGGGCTCTGTGCTGACAGCTAGCTTGGAGCCTGGAGCCTGCTTCGGCTTCTGTGTCTCCCTCTCTCTCTGACCCTCCCCTGCTCACGCTGTCTCTCTCTCTCTCTCTCTCTCTCAGAAATAATTTAAAAAACATTAAAAATTATTTTAAAAAAACGAAATAATTTAATGTTAGCAAATAAATATCCTTCGTTTAGGGTTTTGTATAGTTTTTGTTTCCTCTGAATTGAGCCCTTTCTTGTAGTTAACATATGATTAAGATAAAGCTTGGCCCACACTTTCTAATAAGGTTAAAGCTAGAGAATCTTAGAATTGAGAGGGAGTTTAAAGATCATCTAATTCAAGCAAGAATAATATGTACAGTTTCTGTAAATGGTCAGCTCTGCAAGACTCGAGTCCCTAATATGGAAACCAGTATCATTTTTGACCACTTAAAACAGATAAATCTATCTTGAATTAAAACTTCGTTCAATATGTAGTATTTGCTATCTTCAGTCAAAGGGACTAAACACTAAAAATATATTCAAATTCCCCAAGCTATACGTATTTTAAAAATTTAAATAAACTTGTGAGGTTTTGTTTTTTTGTGTTTTTAAATAGTATTTACACTTTGAAAGTCAATAAAGGGTTAAAACTATACTAAGATTTTGGGGACACTACGTGATGAACAGAAATCTACTTCTGTGTAATTTTGAGAAATTGGTCCAAGTTTTGCCATCTAAAAGAAGGAAGATAAATTTGACAGATGCCTGGGTGGCTCTGTCGTTCGAGCTTCCGACTCTTGCTTTCGGGTCAGGTCATGGTCTCCCGCTTTGTCAGCTCGAGCCCTGTGTCAGGCTCTGCGTGGAGCCCGCTTGGGGTTCTCTCTCTCCCTCTCTCCCTGCTCCTCCCCACTCGTGCTCTGTCTCTCTCAAAATAAATGGGTAGGCTTTAAAAAGAAAGAAAGAAAGAAAGAGAGAGAGAGAGAAAGAAAGAAAGAAAGAAAAATTAATGTCTCCCACAGAAATATTTGAATATATTACCCTCAAATATTTGAATATATTCTCTCCTACAAGCTAGACATCTTGGGCTAAATGTACATTATCCCATACATTTCAATAGTATAAAACTACTATTACGCGGTACCATTCCTGTTTTCAAATAGTGCACCCAGGGGGACCTTGGCAGGTCCGTTGGCTGAGCCAAAGTTGGTTAAGCCTCTGTCTTTGGCTCAGGTCATTGTCTCACAGTTTGTGAGTTCGAGCCCCATGATGGGCTCTGTGCTGACTGCCTGGAGTTGCTTAGGATTCTGTATCTTCCTCTCTCTCTCTCTCTCTCTCTCTCTCTCTCAAAAAATAAACATTAAAAAAATTGATTTCAATATTGCACCTGAAAATGGAAACAC